TAATTAAACATGGGATAAATTTGGGGTCGGGGTGTTACAACCACCACACCACATCTCATGGTTAATTCAAATTATATTTTCCATTACAAACAAAACGAATCAGTCAAAATAAAATAATACCTGCAAGCTTACCATTTCAATTTTGATATCACATAAAGCTAGTCTAACGGCTGGTACTCTAATGCCAATTCAATGTCATCTTAACAATCATAATAAATATATAGTAAAACGACTAAATACATAAAATAAAATAAAACTGATATTATATATATATATATATATATAACACGGTTTGATACTAATAGTTTTATGTGGTTTGAAAAAATATTAATGAATACTTTGATTGCTTCAGCCAAAAAGATTTTGTAATAAAACCTTCAGCAATTAAAAATAACCATCACAATAAGAAATTGCCTTATTTGAAAGACCAATTGAAATGAAGTCATAAAAAGAAATTAACGGCAACCAAAATAATGATTGAAAGTAATACCAAGGTACAAAACAGTTATGTCAATGAAATGGCCGTTGCAAAGCTTCTAATTAAAGTTAATGACAACAATCGATCTCAAAAACTAACGTCCAAAATAAATTGTACCAACAATGGATTTCAATATGGCACATTATATGGGAGTAATGAAATTTTTGAAAATATATGCATATGCACAAAATGGAATAGTAAAAATTAATTTCTCCGTAAATGTAAAAGTTCTAATTCTCAACATTGATGTATCAACCAACTAGCTAATGCATTTATACTATTAAAACAAACTGTTCGTTTTTCTCCCAAATTTAAAGCAATGATAGCAATTGTCAATAAAACTTGCAATAATATCACGTAAACTCTCTGTTCGTTTTCACAAATTAATAGCTATAAATGAAAATAAAGAATCAATATAAAAATTGAATACACAGATAGGCCAGAACTAAAACTGACGCAAAAAAATATAAAGATAATCTATAGAAACCCAACATTAAAAAACTGTAATTGCAAACAATAAACTTTACGGCCAAGAATATATTATAATTGCTTCTCACGTTGATACGAAGGATTTCCAAAAGTAAAGCAGACCTTTTTGGCAATTGAGAACAATAAAACGATATTTAAAAAAAACGATTATAAAGGACCATTATATAAAGGAAGATTGATGGCAACCAAAATGAATGAAGGCAAATGTAAAAGGGCCCAACACAATAAAATCAAATATATATTGTAACAACGCGGTCCTTAATTAATATTTAATTATTAATTTATTCTAGTAAAAGACATTTATACTTCTAGAATATTTTATTAGGTTTAAAAGTTGACTTTTTGACTGGGAAGTAATGTGGGGATTTCAGTTATATCGTTGCATAGAGCGCGATGAAACGAGTCCGTAGACATGTAGTGGACTCAAATCGGAGTTGTAACGAAGGAGTTACGATCAAAAGAAGTTCAGTGGCATAACCGTAAATATTTCAATCTTCAGTTTATATAAACCCAGATTTTCTGGATTTCGGGGGCACGACCAGCCGACTTTGGGAGCTGTTTTCTCTCAGCTCCGACCCCCGATTCAGACAAGACCAGTTCCAAATGAACCAAGAAACTTCCCTCTTCCAGTCCCAGCCTTTCACCGCCTCGATCCGCCGCCATAGTTTCCGGAAACAGCCACGAAACAGGCGGTGCTGATCAGTTTTTGACAGAACTTCCAAGCGTTCGTTCTCCGTCGTCCGGCCACCAAATCGGACGAGTGAGGTATGGTTTTCTAGCTATTTTTCATGCTCTAACTTCTGGTTGGGTAGGATTTCAGAAATTTCTAGCGTAGATAACTTGATTTTGGATTCACAGTTTGGCCGGATTTCGGGTTGAGATTCTGGCCACTTCCGGCCAGTTTTTGGGGTAGGTCCAAGAACAAAAGTGGCTCCAAATGGGGTGTTATACTTAGGATAGGAGTCTTGAGCCTAGATGTCGAGTTTTTCCGGCGAGGCGTTATCGCTTTAGGCACCACGCACTGCCAGCGCGTGTGGCTGCGCGTGGGCAGTAGGGTGGGGACCACAGTCAGTCCTAGAATAATCTCCTAGTCCTCACGAGCGCGTAGGATTTCACGGATCTTAATTCAGATATCGTTTGAACCCCGAGCGGATCTCGCTTATTTTGCAATTTCCGGGTTCAATACGTTTGAACCGTTGGATCGTAGTTAATTCCAAGTATGTTAATCTAGACTTTCCCAGGATCGTATAGTATTTGACGGATCGTAAAATGGAGTCCTGGATACTCCAAAATGGTCAGCCCTAGAGCAGTTTTACTGTAAACAGTTCAGTTACAGGTCAGGAACAACAGAAAGAACTACGTGTGGCTTGATCCCTCGGTAAGGGTACGTAGGCAGCCTACAGTTACCAGGCGCAGCCACGAGTTAGGGCCTTAGGGTTTGTGTTATTATTTTTGCAGGGCATTTTGGTCATTTATGACCCACAGCCACCAAGTGTCAGTTTTAAATGGGATTCGACCCGGATTCCAAAGTGGAATTTGGGTCAGGTCGTTTCATATATACTTGCTTTGAAATTTCAATTAAAAGAAAAAATAGACCAAAGATTTTGAAAACCTTCAATGTTTCGGTTTTTAAACACTTCAACCGGTCAACATTGGATGTTTCACCATAAACTGATTAATGAGTAATAATTAAGTAATCGGTAATGAAACAATACAAGCTATTTAAAACAAACAGTAACTTAACAAAACGTAGCTCACTTCAATATATATATATATATATGTAGCAATTAAAGATTTAAATCTCTTCCAAAACGTTAAGCTATAATAATAATACCACATAAATTAGTCTGTAGGTTTTTATTTTCAAACACTAGCAGTAATTTCCCAAACGTTAGCAACAAATTATAAACATATAAATGTACCAACAATATTTAAAGCAATTGAAATTTAATAGACAACATGAAGGCTTTAAACTGCATCTAACCAAAACAAATCGTAATTTTCAATTTGAAAATCCAATACAAATGCAAAAACTTTAGTCAAAGAGTTAAAAGATATTAAAGCAATAGCAGTACGGGAAGAAAACAAATGTAACGTACAAAGGTTTATTCGAAATACAGGTAAGATAATACTTGTTTACTACAATTTGAACCAAGTGGCACGTGGTAATCTCATCAATCAAGTATTCAATTGAGACTTCAACAACAATACGGAAAGAAAGTAGTTTTAATATACAAAGGCTTTAGATTGTTATAAAAAATAATAGTTTTCCTCTTTCCGTAAAGCCAAATACAAAATATTTATATTATAAATAACATATAAACAAATTGAAAAGCTTTGAAGGTATAATGAAATTGAAGAAAACAAAATAATAGGGAAATAAAAGGAAAATAAATAATAGGTAAGAAGGTGAGTTTGGCACGGTGAAGCACGTCAAAAGACGTTGTTCTAAAGCCTTTGTAGCCTCCCTACGTGCAAGTACTGATGGTCTACAAGACTCCAAGATACGATCCCTTGTACACAAACTTAAGATCTGCTATGAGCACGTTCATAGACAGATATAGGTATCCAAGTCACATAACCATTGCCAATAATAATAATAATATAAAGTAGAGAATATATGTAAAAGTAGAAAAAAGAAGAATTAGAATGTGTATGTGATATTCTGATAGTGTATTGTGGTTATTTCAAATGTGAAGGAGGAGTAGCCTTTTATAGGCATCCAAAAACATGTAACCTTCACCAACCATAAAAGTTCACAAACCAAAAAATTAAGGCATTCACCAGCCAGAAATAAAACCTGAATATTAAATATTTATAACCTCCACAATAAATAAAATAAAACAGCCAAAATAATTAAATAAATAAAACGGTTAAATTTTTAAAACCTTTTAAAATTCCAACAGGAAGTTCCGAATTGCATGAGCTGTATAGACTTATAAGCACCTGTGGACGTCTTCTAAATGATATCCAAGGCTTCATGGTAGATAATATCAGTGTTTTCAAAGGCTTGCCTAATCGAGCCCCAGTGCGCGCGTCAGAGCGAGGCGAATGGAAATCGCCTCAAGCATTTGTCTGTTTAGCTTGCTGCACGTTTAGCGGAGAGAGGCGCATCAAGGCGTGATGAGGCTGTCGAGGCGGAGCGAGGCAGAATGGCGCCGCTGTTTTTGCGTTCTGCAAGCCTATAGCACGATGAAGAAGATCAAGTTTTTTTTAGGTTTTCTACAATGAAACGACTTCGTTTTAAGGTTTTTGTTTCTTGATTTTAAGTTAAACGCACGTTTTGACTCCCCAACCATAACCTAGACCTATATATATTATACACTATAACGTTAATATTATACCCAAGTTGGACCTGCCGCATAAGATATTAACCCTTACCCGATATTCTTGTCCACTCTTTTGTTCCTCTTCTCCCTAGTTTTATAAAGTTTCTATTAAACTCTTTTGCCTCTATGGGGTGGGATGAATGAATTGAGTTTTCCTTTTGATGGTGAATAAATAATTTTCAAAAATACAAATTATATATATACTAAAACTGAGTTCAGGAGTTCACTGTTCCTAGACTGTAGCTTAGCAATAGTAAAATGGCGGTTTTGCCCCCGCTTAAGAGATGGTCAGCTTCCTTGAGCTGACTTATGGACAGTGAATTGGCCTTTTTGTCCTCTAGCCCTTCTCTTTTCTTCGTTTGAGTCGCTGAGTGAGAGGAGGAAAACCTCTTCTCCTTCATCGCTCTCTCCTCTCTTCCTTTCTGTCCTCCGCTGCTCCGAAATTTCTTCATCTTTCTGATCGTTTCTTCCTCTTTCATTCCATCGTTCTCCGTTTTATCTCATCCTCTCTTTTCTTCGTTGGAGTCGCTGAGTGAGAGGAGGAGAACCTCTTCTCCTTCATCGCTCTCTCTTCTCTCTTCCTTTCTGTCCTCCGCTGCTCCGAAATCTCTTCATCTCTCTCATCGTTTCTTCCTCTTTCATTCCATCGTTCTTCCTTTTTGTTGTTCAGGTAATTTCTGGTTTTTGTTGTGTTTTGGGTTGTGTTTAATTTCTGGTTTTTGTTATTTATTTATTTATAATTGTTTTAGGTTGTGTTTGATTTATGGTTTTTGTTGTTCAGGTAATTTCTCTTTTGTTAATTCATGTTGTTTTCATTTTGATTGATTCATATATATACATGCGTTTTCTTTTCCAATTTTTCTGTTTTGATTTTTTTATTTTTTTAAACCGTGTTTTCTTTGATATTTTGCAGGAGTTCTTTTGTTGCTTTGGATAGAGCAGTTTGATTGGTGTTTTCAGTTCTGTTAAGCAAGAGGTGAGTTTCTAGGCTGAAAATGCAATTAATTGTTTTAAGTCATCAATTGACAATTGGTTGGTGTTAATTTGTTGATGTAGTGATAGATTTAGATGTTTACAATATCTGAGCATGTTGGTGAATCCTTTGAGTGTTTTGACGATTGGGCTTTCTTTTTTTGTTTTTTGATTTCCACATTGTTTAGTTTATAGAGTGTTTGTACAAGTAAAGAAAGCCTCTGGATTACAAGGTCGTAATTTGATATGTACGCTTTTGCTGTTGTTTTTACTCCGAATTTTATCTTTAGTTTTGTTTTCAATTGAGGATCCATATACATTAGCTATTGTTTTGTTTACAAAGGTTAGAACTAAAGAATCACTTTATAATATTTCAATTGATCTGCTACTTTTATTGGATTCCTGGGTATTTTTTTCCTTCTTATTTGACTTCCATATCATATTAGTACATCCACCATATAGACACATCTTTCATGCTCTATTTTTTGTTCGTCTTGCTTTAAAAAGTTTATTATTAAATTTTCTTGAGCATGGTTTTCTTTTGTTTATTGTAAAAAAAAAAAAAAAAAAGTAGAAACTTTGGTAGATTGAATGATAGTGGGCAGTTACTATTCATTTTTTTGTTTTATTCACAAATTTTTTTAGCTCAATAATTAATTTGGATAATATTTTCGTATAAGATTTCCGGGTTCCTACGTGTCAAGACTATTCATAATCGGATAAAATTTCCGGATAAGATTTTTGGATTCAAATTTCGGATGAATTTCAAAATTCAAATTTCAGATAAATTTGGGTTCAAATTTCGGATAAATTTGGGTTCAAATTTCGAATGAATTTTAAAATTCAAAATTCAAATAAATTTGGGTTCAAATTTAGGATGAATTTCAAATTTCAGATAAGATTTTCATCCAATGAAATCAAGCCACGTGACATCTCTATCTTGCCAAATTTTTATATCAAACCAGAAGCTCCACCCATACCTCACATCTCTCTATATTTTCATTCTTAGAGTTTAGAATTCATACTCCATTCATTCTCAATGGAAGAATATAGGAGATGCTTGGAGAGGCAAAAACGAGAAAGAAAGGAGAGAAATCGTAGAGCCGATGAAATCAATGAGTTGTAGAGACAAGTCGATGAACAAGTTCTCATAGCAGTGGCAATGGAAGAGGAAGAAAACCAAGGTCGCCGCCGTGGTTCGCAAGTCGGCCGTCGCCGGAATGTGGACAGACATAGGCATTCTCGGGGTAAGAATCTTTTGGAAGATTATTTTATCCCAACTGCTTTGTACTCTGATGTTGATTTTCGAAGGCGATTTAGAATGCAACCCCATTTGTTCAATTAAGTCATGCATGATATTTGCAATTAGGATGCATACTTTGTTCAAAAGTGTGATGCTGCTGGGGTTTTGGGGCTTCTTCCGGAGCAAAAGCTTACAGCTCTTATACGAATGTTGGCGTATGGAGCATCTGCTGATCAGGTGGATGAGGTTGCCCGAATGGGGAAGTCCACTATATTGGAGGCTTTGGTAAGATTTTGTGATGCAGTTGAAAATCTGTACACTAGGGACTACCT